CTCTCATAGATTTAGAATAATCCAAGTCTGTCCAAAAAAAAAAAAGATTTAGAATAATCCAAATGAGCTCATTAAGAATGTTAAAGTTGCTAAAGAAATATATTTTACCTCATTTGACATCACTTGGTTAGCGGCTGTGTGCAATGTTTTGTAAACTAGGTACATCGAATACATATGAACTTCTATAAAATAAAAAACAAAAAAAACTAATGAGTTAATTTTCTAGGGCAATGTCAGAGAAACATGAATATATACATCTTTATAAAATTGACAACCGTAATTATAATGTTAAATTGCTTAGAACCGCATGCTAAAATAAACTTACATAACGACCGGAAGATTGAAATATTAATCTGCACTTTGATATATAATTTCCCGATAAATACGAATGGTAAAAATATTCACTGTTTCTGGAGTTATAAACAGATTTGAATATGTAATTCTTGGTTTTCCCCCATTCAGAACTAAGTAACATATTTAACAGACAAGTAAATGATTAAACTACAAAAATATCGATGTTGACCAAAAGACACTATCAGAAATCAGAATCCTGTTATTTGCTTGGTGCCCCAGAATCACATACATACTTGGAACGTAAAATATGGGTTCCAACTTAGAATAATAGAATAATTAGGAGAAGAAAAAAAAAAAAAAAGAATGATTTGTGCAAAGCCACTAATGTACAAAGCGTGTGGAGCGCATTATGAGTGGGCAGCCCTACAGGCACGCTCGCACTCTTTTGCTGTCGCTCCGGTGGGTCAAACTGTGTGCCAGTGCTCCCTATTTACTCCCAACTTCGTGTCGTTTCTTTGTTGCCTCCCCTCACTTATTTTAATCCCTTTACACTACTTTATAATATGAAACATACCTCAATTGTTTTGCTGTCGCAAAATAGTGGTTTATGACCGTACCCAATATATTATTTTTCTTATGATTACTTTTATAAGATATGACAAAAGATATTAATATTATAATTTGTTTTCCAACCATTAAAAATAAGTTTTGTAAGAAAAGCATTTCTATACCAACTTTTTTAGATTACTAATTTGTATTATTCTTTAAATGACACTTGTATTATATTAATCCTCTAATTTTATTTATTTAGTTTAATTTTAATACGTATGTTTGATTTTCCATTTTTTTTTATACTGAAAAGCATGAGATTATGGATGAGTTGACGTTTTTAATTATAAAAAATTGTGTTTGATTGACAAAAGCTTAACATGCCAAATTATGTGATAAATGTAACCCATTTTTTGTTCCATCAAATATTTTAGTACATAATTATCTGAATGAAATATAAATTCAATGTGATATACTATAAGAGTAATAAAAATTCCAACCAAATAAAATTAACGCATTGGGTAATATATTTGGCCAACAAATTAAAGAAGCAAAATAGTAATCAAATATTTTGAATTTTCTTGCTAAGATCCATATTTGTTCTTTCTTGCTTTTTTATAAGATCTATAGTATGGTAATAAGCAACAGAAAGTGAAATACCAAAAGAATTAGATGACTTTAACCCCAAAAAAAATAAGTAAAAAATATCACTTGCAAATTTGCAATATTGTATAGGTAGAGGTGGCAAGAAAAGAAGAAGACTGTAGGGCTTTGTAGCTAAACCATTAATTAAGAAAAGGTATAGTAGTAATTAACACCAAACCACAACATAATAGAAAAGAAACCTAAAAAGGTCCGAGATCTGTATCAAAGATTAAACAAAAGAAACTAAATTATTATGTTACATTTACTTACCTGCATCTCTATTAATAAAATAAAATAAAAACTAAATTATTGAGGAGAGAAAGGAAAAAAAAAAAAGTATCCTCATTCGGAAATAGGAGATGCTTTCCCTTTGGGGAAACTCCACGATAATAATATATATTCATAACAAAACCAGTCATTGTCTTGCACCACTCCAAGCTTTTTTATTTTTAATTATTTTTTTTAAGAAACGTCTTTTACTGATTAATTTTTAATTGACCTATTAATTAAGAGAAATATAATAATTCGTGTGTGTTGGGTGTGAGTGGTGGACAAACAACTCTGACATTTCATTTAAACAACTCTTTCCTTTGGTATTTAAAAACAATTGTAGTTGCAGACAACATCATATTATACTATTGTGTTTTATTTTAACGAAATTGTTCATTCATAAAACATCTGTCACTTCTTAATTAAAATTCGAGATATGTACTGTGAATATCTCTTTTGCTAATTAACGTCGTCCATTGAAATTAATTTTGCATGGTTTGAATATTTTGTCAACAATTTTTTTGTGATTTGCAAACTTACATGATTTTTTAGGTGGTGCATTAATTAACAACTAGACTATATATCATTTTCATACATTCATACCAATTAATTAATTAGTCGTAGTATTTAGACATTTTTTTGCTGACCCTATTAATTGATGTCAACAATCGATTTTGTTGAGGGCATCCACTTGTCTCTAACATATATAGTTATCGCACGTTCAAGAAATATAAAGTCTATAATTTGGTAGAAAAGATTCAAACAAAGTATACTTTCATTTTGAAAACTTTTCAATAAAAATATGATTCTGAGACGAAATGTTTTATAAAATTAATAGAAACTTTCTTGTAGACTCAAGTTTACAATGGTTCTTTTGAACTGATCAAAAACCAATCGTCTAATAAATCAGTAATATAACAAGTTTTTTAGCCACCCAAAATATATACAGTTACAAACATAGAAACACAAAGGAAGGAAAACTCGATCTGCGTCTCAAATTAGATCAACAACATGGTGAATCCTCAACAGCGGTATATCATATTATAATAAAAATTCTTAACACTTTCAAGAATTATTGTGTCTGTTATGGCGTGATCACTTAAGCTACCTAACCCATTTTATAAATAAATCATGACTGTTTTGTTTGTTTTAAGAACTTGATTAGTACAATATGTTAAGAAAACTAAGTGTGGTCCCGAGATATGAGACTATATATGAGAGTAACAACAGTTGAACTAGCATTTCAGTAAAATGTAGTATATTTAAATTACGTGTATAATCTCCCATCCTAAGTGTTGTGAATATGTATTAGTTATTCTTATTATGATACAATTATTTAGAATTTTAAATATTTCTACGTATTAGAATATCATCATGACTATATTCCTACGTTAATTAATATTAAAGGTTCGATTTATCTCGCTAAACTCCATTATTACGAGCTTGTTATAACTTAGACACACAGCTATGATCACTAAACATTTACTATTCTATTTAATTACTTCCTTGATGTTTAAAAAATTGCTGTGAACCAGCAAGTTAAGCAAGGAAGGAACCATCATTGTGTATTAAAATATATTTGACAGTTCTTCAAGGTTGGTCTCTAGCAATACGCCCCCGCAAACATTATTGACATTTTTTGTGAAATTTATTCTGTTTGTAACCAAATGATTTTATACCAAAACCAAAGTCACGTTAAACTTCTAATTATCATATAACCATCATATACAATTTGTAATGGCTAAAATTGATGCCATTTTCACATGTATTACATGATTAGCTCTTTTGTAGTTTTGTTGGAGAAATTAGATGTTAATGTCATAGTTAGAGATCAATTTTTTTTTTTTTTGTTGACGAATGAGTTTAGTCACCTAGGACCCAAATCATCACATGTCAACAGAAAAAAAAAATCAATATCAGTTTAGATGTTTATGTAAAATCATGTAGTGTACAATTTCTATTAGATTAATGTACTGTAATTTATAGAAATATAGGCATGATACTAAATGTTTATGTGCATATATTATCGTAGATAAGTATAGTGTATGGTAGAATAATGTATATAGTAACCCACTAATAAGTTTCCTAGCATGCTACAGTTGAAACCACATACTAGTCCAATGTTTTTTCTGTTATAGAAACTATGGACCAAAATTAGAAATGAATATTAAACGTTTTATTTGTCACCAAATCATTTTACCTTAGGGAAAAAAAAAAAGCATCATGCAGAAAAGAAAACAACTCATGTGCCCAAAAGGTTAAATGTCAACACCAATAGAGGAATTACAGAAGTAGCCTTTTTTTTGTCACCGACCTTAAAAATCTTGAGAGCCAATGAGGGATGCTCCTCGTTTGTGTGTCTTTGTTCTGAGTCCTGTGATTGGTTCATCTTCTCTTTAATCGTCTTCGGCCTATCATTAGGCAACGCTTAAGCCGCAAAATAACCCTCTCCTATTAGTTGAGTTTGAGTCATCTCCTTATTAATTTCATCGATAAAACAAAATTATACTAAATCTATTCAATCAACGGTCCTCGGAAGAAGCATAACAATTTTTTTTTATATAAAAAAACTAAAAGCTGATTGAGAACAAATGAGATCTGAACATGTGTGAACTCCTCCTATTCAAAGAAGACACTTGTCTCTTCCTGATTTATGTGATTGGTCTATCACAGACTATCCAAGGACGAGTGTTTATTGGTTGATTTTATTAAAAAGGTACGAACGGAATTAATATACAGAAAAAAGAATGTTTTTGATATTAACTAATCTCACTTTTTTTTGTTTAATTTCAGTTGAATTATACTAATAGTTTCTTGTACTATGTTGATATGTTGAGAATTAACATTATATATCACAACATTAACATGGTTTTGGAAAATACTTTAACACCATAAATTTGTGTTTAAGCTAGTTTTTTTTTTTTCTTAAACACAACTTAGGCTACATATATATATATTTGAACACCACATGTCAACATAGATGTCACCTTTTAGCATAAGTAATTTAGTCATAAGTCATTAAAATTGAATAATATTCTTATTTTCTAGAAATATAATTGTTTTAATTTTATGTTTTATTTTCAAAAGGAAATCCTAATTGGTAGCCTTTTAATTGATCAAGCAATTTTTAAAAAAAAATTAGTAACAAATAGTATAAATAAATAAAAAAATGGCAGATCTTAATAGTAGTATATAAATAAGGGGGTATAATTAAAGGGAAAGCCCAGAAATTGTTGTCTGGGAAAATACACATAGACAATCACAGCTCAACAGCTTTTTAACTCACCTCTCTCACTCTCAGATCATTCCTGTTTCATTTACATTTCTCTCCTCTCTCTCTCTCTCTTCCCGTTTCAGACTTGAGAGAGTCTGCGAGAAAGAAAGAAGAAGAAGAAGAAGAAAAAAACAGGTTGGGTTTTTGTTCACTTTAACAGCTTCATTCTCTCAAACCCACCTGAGTTTTTTTTGTTACTCCATTTCTCTCTTCTGTGTTTTGCCCCCTTTTTTTTATATCTCTTCTTATTTGGTTTCTTGTCAGTTTCAAGAGAGCTTCCAAATCCCAGATCCTCTGTTTTTCCTTGTTGGTCCTTTCCTCTGTTTTTTTTTTTGTTACACTTTTACTTTCTCTGGATTCGGATCTGACCACTAAGGATTTAGTTGGTAAAAGAGGTATTATCGTGTTCTCTTCTCTCACACAACAAAAGCTCAAAGATCGAATCTTTTTCTTTTCTTCTTCTTGTCCTTAGAGTCCGGAGAGAAACAAAAACAAAAAAAGCAGCTCCCTTTCTTTTCTCCTCCCTTAGATTCTTCAAAGCTTAGATGCTTATCTCTCTTTCTCTCTCAGATTCCATTTCAAAAATGCCATTTTGACAGATCAATATCTCCAAACTTTTCTCTCTCTATCTCTTTCTCTTTAAGCTCCACCATTGATAATACAACAATATCAACAATCGTTGAAAACATGAACAGAGGAATCCAAGTTATGTCACCAGCAACGTATCTAGAGACATCGAACTGGCTATTCCAAGAGAACAGAGGAACCAAATGGACGGCTGAAGAGAACAAGAAATTCGAAAACGCCTTAGCCTTCTACGACAAAGATACTCCAGACAGATGGTTCAAAGTCGCCGCCATGCTTCCCGGCAAAACCGTGGGAGACGTGATCAAACAATACAGAGAGCTCGAGGAAGACGTCAGCGATATCGAAGCAGGTCTCATCCCAATCCCTGGCTACGCTTCCGATTCCTTCACACTCGACTGGGGAGGCTGCGATGGAGCAGCAGGTAACAATGGGTTCAACATGAACGGTTATTACTTCGCCGCCGCCGGAGGAAAGAGAGGATCCGCTGCACGAACGGCGGAGCATGAGAGGAAGAAAGGTGTTCCATGGACAGAAGAAGAACACAGGTATAAACTAAATCATCTCATCTCTACGTTAACGTCAATGCTTTCTTCTCTAGATTTGGACCCCTTTTTTACACTTTATTCTATAAAAAATATATATATACGTACGTCTTTTTCTTGGAAACGTGTTTATGTATACGTATAAAGATACGCTTATCGTATAAATATACACATATATTCATTCTATTATACTATTAAGACATAGTCATCCACCAAAACAATTGTATCTTTAGTGCGTGTCTATATGACCTACGTATGGGTTTCGACACAGAGACAGAACACACGCACATTCTTTTGTAGTAGATACATACATACATACATTTTTATATACTATATCTCACACAAATAAATATTTTATTTTCCTTGTATGGAGTTTGTAAATCCATTGGTAAACGAACTATACAGAGAATATATGATTTTTTTGCTTCTTGTAGGCTTTTGATGTGTGGTGTCTTAGTGCGGTGAATTTGATTCATATACTCACGCACATTATTTTATAGGACTATAAACATTGGTAAAAACACTACACATGAAATTTATTGGCTATAACATGTAACTTGGTGATTTAAAGGTGTTAGAGAATGCATGTTGTTGACAATGTTGTGTGTTTGGTGGTTTAATAATATTTGATGTGTTAATTTTGATGAATGTGCAGACAGTTTCTGATGGGTTTGAAAAAGTATGGAAAAGGAGATTGGAGAAACATAGCTCGCAACTTCGTGACCACACGGACGCCAACGCAAGTCGCGAGTCACGCTCAGAAGTATTTCATAAGGCAAGTCAACGGCGGCAAAGACAAACGCCGATCAAGCATCCACGATATCACGACCGTCAACATTCCTGACTCTCCTGACGCAGCAGCCACCGATAACGCAACCTCGAACGCGCCATGCTCGCCGCCATCAGTAGGAGGAGGAAGCCAGCAGGAAGCGTCGGAGTGGGAAGGTCAACCGCTTTACGATGAAACAGCGGCTGCGTTTTATAACCAAAACGCGTTTCAGGAAACGCTACTTGGTATGTCCTCGACGCCGTACATGGCAAAACTTCAGGAACAGAGTTTTCTGAACGCATCGCACTTCGAACCGTACAATGCGTATCTCCAAATGTAGCACAAGGTGAAAGATCTCGGACAAGTGTTACTACGAGTTAATAATGATCATTAATATTTTTATTTATTTTTACTATTTTGTTTTTCCTTAATCCGCGTGCATATACCCAAAAAAAACAAAAATTAGTTGCTTTTAATTTTTATTCAGAGATACTATTTGTTGTTTTGTTTACACTCTTTTTTTTTTGTGGTTGATTCAATGAGTTAATTAGGCTTTGTTATTTTAATTACTGAGTGATTTTGGAACTCTTATGAGCACAAGTTAATTTTTATAAAAATCCTTGTTAGATATTTTGGCCAATTTACATATTTTAAAAATCTTATTTGTGTCATATCTACTAATATAAAGGTTAAAAAGTCTCTCAAGTTTCTCAGTGTAAAGTAAAATAAACCAATGCTAAGAAGAAAAAAAGAGAAAGATATTAGTTAATAGTTATTATAAGTGGGGCTGTACTAGTTTAGAATGAGTTATCTATTTATGAATATGAAGCCAAAAGTATATATATAAAGTGGGTTTTCCACAAATCACATGATATTTTAGCATTTGTTGTGGTGACAAATCCGTAATCGAAACCTGGCTTTGTGCTGATAATGATGTCTTTGAGCTCTCTTAGGAATCATCTAAACTTTTTTCTTAAGTAATTAGAATTTCCCAACTGTTTTTATTTAATAGTTCTGTCTGAAGTTCGAAGTTGACAAGAGAATGAGAATCTACAGAGAGCCTAAATAAAGACCATAAAATATATAAATAAAAGCCACAATGATTGATATGCTTTTGTTCCTCACCAAGTTGCAATTTTAAATCCTCATCTTGGACAATTTTACATTTTCCACAGTTATTTTATTACTTGTATGTAAATATTATACTGTATTTTTCTTAAAATAATAGTAATCTTATTCAGTAAGAACAACATTTTAACTACTACTACACAGGCAAAGCTGGGAATGAGATCTATAGACATCCCACTAGGTTTTAAAAAATGACTTCCATATTATTAAATTATATTTTTTTGTTTTTAGTTACTCTTTTTCTTAAAGCATTTTTGTTTTTGTCAAATTATTGGGTGAATTTGTTCTTTAAATTGATGTTCAGTGGGTTCCATTTTGATGCTTTTAGTGGAGTAACAAGAAGTATATATCTCCATATAATTGCATTTTTGACTTTGAAGGAAGACCGTTGATTCCCAATTATTCTTGTAAAATCTATTTTCCATAATGTTAGATTTCTTTTTTCTTTTTTATAAGCCTCATGTAATATGTTTCTAAAAGTCATTTGAAAGTTTTAAGTTAATTCAAGTCCAATGTAATTGTTATCAGGCTAATGATCAAACGTCTAAGATGATTTGGTGGAATAATCTGATAGCTAGCTTTTCTTAAATGTTTTGAAAAAGCCAGAACACAATCACCTCTTCTAGCTCTCATGGGCCTATATCAGTACATACAAAATGAAATCTTGGGCATATTACAAATACTATACAAAAGCTATCTTTTTATCTAACATTTTCTTGTTCTGCATTATCTTTTTTGTAGCACCTTGTGTACCTATAGGTCACAGAGAAATACAACAAGAGATTGAACATGCAGAGCACTGTTAACACCCAGTAATAGTTATCCAACCGGCTCTTGTTTATTGTCTCTTGAAACCATTTGCCTCCGGTTACTCTGGCCACCACACTAACAAGAGCTATATTGCTCATGATGCCGACGCCGCACACGCCAACGTTTAGCAGAACCATGTATTGGCTCAACTCTTCTGGCACTGTTTCTTCTAGGTAAAGAGCAAAACTGTTTTCGTAGATTCCTGTAATTGACCCGAGCAGAATGTACTGTGGGAGCAGCCAGAAAACACTCATGGGGACGGTTTCAGACATCAAGCCTTGAGCTGTTAACACTTTGAGCCTTCTAGACTCAACGTGTGCGGCAATGGAGCAGCAGAATATTGATAGGATGATCGACACTGGTATGCCATATGGAGTTTTGGTTTGTTTTGTTGATTCGGGGTCAATGATGTGGCTGCGTTTTGCAGCCATGACACATAGTTCTCGGGATCCTAGTCTTGCAGCCTCACTAAAGAGTAAGAGGAGTGGGAGAGGCAGATTCAATGATCCGAACGTGGAATCCATATTGTTTGCTTGTTCGAGGAAGAAAGTGTTACCGAGGGAGAAGAAAATCCCAGAAATGAGAGATGTCACGAACAATGGTACCGTGTGTATCACGCTTTTGGTTTGCTCCACTTCAGTCACCCGGCAAAGTTTCCATCTGTTTTTTTTCTGTTGCTCCAAGGGCTCGGTTTGGAATATCATTGCAGCTCTGTCTAGGCACCTGTGTTTGAATATATTAAGGTTTAGGTGTTACATATAAACATAACCTCCACACAATACTAAAGTTGGTCCCTTCACACTTCCAATGTGGGATTTCTAACTACTCTTAATTTATTGAATTGAACTCTTTAACGAACCTCAAGCTACTTGTGTGGGGCTTCATATCAAGATCACAGTCGTCTTTCTCATAGAGCTGCGTTGAGTTGTTCGGGTATGAACACGACATTTTGGAAGCAGAAGCCACAAAGACCCGGAAAACTGTTGTCACAGGGCTCCCACCTGGTTTTTCCCGTTTGTAAGAACGTGCACCGGACATAAAAACCAGCATTGCTAATACCTCACATCCCGCGGGGATCGCGAACCTTACAAACCACGGACTTATCTGAGGCATTGCAATAGCAGCAAGTAACAAGAACACAAAATTCCCTACATTACCAATGACAAAGCTAACGAGCTTGGCGGGATTCCCCTTATTCCTACCGTCTTCTAATTGGTCCTCTGTAAATACTCCCAAAGAGATAGACCGTCCAAATATACCAACGGATATAACTGTTAGGGCTATGTAGAACAGGCCCTTTTTTCCATTGCCAGAAAGTATTGGTGAAGCTGATATTGCCAAGAACCCGAATCCCTGAACCATGAGAGAGCGTAAAATTTCACTTCTAACACAAAGAATAAATTCGTACTACGTAGCCTAAGCTAAAGAGGAGGTGAAGGTCTTACGAAACTGAATGCTAAAGTAGAGAGACAGAGCATCCAAAAGTGACCAATAAATGCATCAACTAGAAACTGCATGCCGAGATGACCAATGGCTGATACACCAGCAAACACATTTACAACTGCAGCTGCGTCCGTGAACTTTAGCTTCATCTCGTTCGTCAAGTATAGCATCAACATCCAGAGAGTAAACCACGCAACGGTAAAAGCCCATGATAGAACTGACATACAAGGGAAAAAAAAAACATAATGATCAAGAAAACATTAAAGAGAACGACTTAGAAATTACAAGAATTTGCTAGAAAATGATCAATGGAGCATCTTGGTGTAGATCTTGAACTATCAAAACAAGATCAAGAAGCAGAAACCACATCTTAACTCACCAATGACTCGGAGAAAAGACGCCATTACTTCTCATGTGGAAACAAAATCAATGACTAACAATGCTTACCAACCAACAAACATAACTTTTCCAGCTTTACAATTTTTTTTAAAAGACAATTTAACGAAATCAAGATATGTAGAGATAGACAAATTGAGCCAGACATTAAACAGAAGGCTAATGGAGGCATAGACGTGCTTGTATATTCTAAATAAATAGAAGAGACCGGCTTAAAATATTGTTCTCATACTCTGTTATATTGGTCACAACCCACAACCAACACGGCTGGTTTTATTGATAATGTTATTTAATTTACATAAATATGAATATAAACTATCAATTTTGTATGAGACCAGGACTTTTGCCAGTTCATAACAAGCTATAGTTAACATATACTTGACGGCCAAACAAACTTCAATTAAAATAATGAAAAAAAGACAGAAGAAGATAATGAAGATGGTGAATCGGAGAACATTATCTTCTTCGATTCACCACCATCTTCATCGAGTCTAGTTCATTCACCACCATCTTCATCTCCATCGATCACCCGAGCCCTAACGTACACATCACGCATAATATCTCGTCAAACAATAATTAATGTTACACGGCAATGGAGGAAGTGGATATAGCCTGGCCGTAATCAAAACCTCTACTGCATCATCTCTCGTGGTTGACGAAGAAATACAGTGAGGAAAGTTAAAAAGGCACAGAGAAGCGAGCGCCGCTAAAACGAACGGCAATCAGCGCTGCACCGCGGATCCTAGTTGAAAGCCTGAATGATATTGTGGGTCAAAACTACGTTTACTTAATGGGCCTTCAAGCCTAGTGTAGACCCAACATTGAATGCTCATAATTTCCAATATAATTAAAATACAACAAACTATAATTACAAATGTAATTCTTGTTCCTTTGAGTCTTTGACAGACAAAAAAAAAAAAAACATATATCCTGCATGAACGAAATAATTTTGCATATAGAAATCTAATTCCATCCTTTTCATAAGATATGTATTCTATCAGTTGTGGTCGGCAGACTCTTTGGCTATGAGAAATGCTGCTGCTAACTCCTATTTTTTTCACTTGTTTGAACGAGTTACTAGTTACTACGTACGTAGTACTGTCATATGATCAGCAGTGTTATTAATTTCACCATACAAGAAAAAAAAACAATAAATAGAGTTTAAAATTATTTTGGAACCAATTGGGTTGCAAACTTGCAAAAAGAAAACTGGAGAATTAATACTGACATAAAGGAGAGTCTGTCACCGCAGCCATGGGTTGTTCGAATATTAAAGAGGCTGCCTAAGTTGATACCCCATCGTTATGAAAGTTTTAGGCCGAGTCAAAATCATGTGACTTTTAGTAGACCCAGCATCGGACATAGATCTTGATTATCTATCCATTGTCCCACTTATAGATCTAGCAACTTAATAGTAGAATATGCTGTTATCTAATTTATAGCTATAGCTAGATGTACTTGCATAAACATACAGATTGTTATGGCCTAATAATGAACTAATGACCCCCCTAACTAGCTAGATTTGTCAACTTAATTGATATATGTTGTCTTGTGAAAGTATTTCTGCTTTACGTTTGTGGTCGAGATCATTGGCTGACTTTGCTTAGTCTTGCTAATTTTGTGATTATAACGTTCGCAACGTTGGTGATCTTGTGTTTTGGAAAGTAAGCATATCAGATATGACATGTGATTCAAAGAAGGAAAAAGACTATGTACACGTACGTTATTATATGTTTTCAAAAAAAAGTTAGTAATAAATGCAAAACAAAATCTAAGATGTATAGAAGAATTATTGTCCAAAGCTTAATTTCCAGATAACAAACTGTAACTCAATTTTATACCTCCAGTTCTAAATGTATAAATTTGTGAGGAAAATATACTTTATTAACTGAACCAGCATCATAGCGTATACAATACATAACTAAACATATTATATTAACTCGCCAAGTCGCCGTTACTATATCATGTATGTGTGTGTGTATGTTTTCTCGGTCAAACTGAAATAGCTGTATTGTGTATGTAAGATTTAAAACCTTTAATCCTAAGAATTAAAAGTCAAATATATCCAGAAATTAACTTCGTTGTCCTAAAAAGTGAGGGAAAATAATGTTGATCGATTAAAATGCATAGATAACTTGTAAATTCATTGCATTGTTGTACATATTCCTGACATGATCAGGATCGGGTATAGTAGCTACTATATATATCAATAAATGAAAGTAAAATTAATTTGATCTTTAATTTAGTGGATATGACTTATATTTTTTACATTCAGAGAAAAATGATTTTACTTTTTACACAGAGAAAAATGATTTTACTTTCAGACGTCCATTAATTATAGTGTTATTAGTGGTTATTACATTCATACGTACAAAATGTCATCTCATAAACGAACATAGTTACAAGAAAATTTCTCCACTAAACTGCTTTATAAGAAACGTAATGTATACACGTCGTTAATTTCCTAACGAATATTATATACAACCACACATCCAAACCGAGTTTTTCTTCTTCTTTCTTTTCGTAAACCGTTATTGTACTAAAAGTAAAACTTGAAGAAACATTCATCGAAGTAGAGAAGAAGATATTTAAAGAAACAACAAAAAACAAACTTATCAATTCTTTGCCCCTTGAAATAATAATAATTAACCATCCAAATGAAAAAAAGATTCACATCTTTGTATTATTTCTTCAATTCGTTTTCTCCATCCTTCGATCAATAATCACGTTTTCTCCTTCTTCACCGGAACCCTACCGTCGGTACCAGCGAGCATTGCGTACTTATCCTTTCTTGTGAAATTGGTGCACTCAAAACCTAAGGTTCCTCCCAAAACCCTTTGTATGTAATTCGCCACCTCTATCGGCGATTTGCCTCCTTTACAAGTCAGCTCAGCCGGAATCTGTTTAAGGAACGTGATCTCAAACGTCGGCCTCGGGTTCATGAACGCGAAGTAAGGATCAAGAAGCTTGTAGCCACGTGTGGTTGTACCATTGAACATGCTCTGCTTCGTGTTGATCGCCACGGGAACGATCCGGTCCGTGAGCTCAGCGAAGAGAGCACTGAACCGGAGAAGGAAAGGCTCACGGCATGTTGTTCCCTCAGGACATATCACGAGATCACCTTCCTCTAATAGACGCTTGATGTTAGCTGCATCTTTCTCACGTTGACGAGTCAACGCAACTGTTTTGATTGGTGAGATTAGCTCAGAGAACTTGCTGATGCTGTAAGTGACGCAGCTGATTTTCCGACCGAGCGCGACAGCTGTCACCACCGGGTCGAGGACGGTGCGGTGGTTGCAGACCAAGAGGTGGCCTGGTTGGCCGGGTTTTGGCGGTGGAGGAGGGTGGCCTTTGACGACTAGGTTGATGCCAGTGAGTTTGTAGTTGTAACGGGCGATGCGTTCAGGTAACGGAATATTCGTGTAGACACGGACGAGGGAGACGAAGAAACCTACCGGAAGCCATAGGAGAGTTAACAGAGCAACTAACGGCGTCGGTCGTTGGACTAATCTGCCCTCGTGGAATATTATGGGGCTTAAGAGCTTGTGTCTAGGTAATGGTTCGCATTTCGTACGTGGCACCATGTAACCTTCCTGCAGGCAGTAATAGAATAAGAAAAATGTACGTAAGTTACTATGTTTTAAAGTACGCAAGTGGTTGTAATTGTCGAGTACCATGCGTAGTTCATTCTTCTCTAATTATATAGGAGAGTTGACAGCAAAGTGGCCACGAGACATACGTGTGTACTATCAAATTTATTGATGGTTAGAAGAACATGTATCTAGAAATAACATATGTTTCATATACTAGTTTATTACGATAACTGATTTGAAATTTACGAAACGAATGGAGAGTGAAATAGAACCACACAAAAAAAAAAACGAGATGATCATGGCTTTTACATGATGAAAATAAAAAAAGAACTGGTGGTTCGTGTATGAGGAACCTAAGTTATTATTCTATATTTCAGGTTTCCAAATACACTTTAAAAGTCCCAATAAAAACAAAATATAGTATAAGAATTTTATCAAAGTAATTAAGAAATGGTCATTTAGGTCCAATCGAAAGTTATTAAGTAAATTAAATGGCTATATATATGGCTGACTACTCTTTTTACTTGGAAAAAGGGATATCGGAAAAAAAATATGAATTTATTGGGGTGTTATAGTTATAAGTAAAATAACATGTCATCTAAAGTAAATCATTATGCCTTTTAATAACAAAAGATATTTAGAATAATAACACCAACATTTTTGTTTTCCTAAAAAAAATATATATACTTTTAATAGTAATTTACCTAATTTTATCGCCATCTACTGATCCACATAAAAAGGTATAAATATGATTGGCCCAAAATTGTTAGGAAGGGTAATAAACTCCATAGGACAAGACAGTAATTATTATACAAAAGAAGCTGCAACAACGGACAAGTTCCAGAGACACATAGTTATATATCACTCATAAACGTCCTCTATGTTATTTAATGTAGGTAGATGGTGAAAGTAAAATAATGGAAAGCGACAAACTAAATGAAAAAGAGGTGTTGACGGAACTAACCTTGCATATGGACATGAAGTCGTGGTCCGTCTTGCTATCGCCGAGCCCCAAATCAGGTAAATCAGACGCAAGGCTACCAAACTCTCTCAACACGGCGTCACGTTTGTGTTCACTTACGAGAACACCGGGTTTCCTTGCGAACCCGGTGGCCCGACCCGATTTTGATACCTCTAGCTCTGTTCCAAGAACTTTATCGACTCCTAGGTATGTTTTCACGAACGGCTCGACCATGATCCGAGGACTTGCCGTTACTATGTACCGTTTCCCGAACGTGTTGAAGACACGCCACGTGTCGGGCCTCACGTCCTCCGCGTAGAACCTAGGAAGGACCGAACGGACTACTAGCTCAACGTCTCGGATCTTGAGACCCGCGAAGGTGATGAAGACGAAGACGTTGATGGCTAAAGTCTCGGAGACGGACAAGTACGTAAGATAAACGAACGGTACGGACGCGAGAAGGATCAACGCTCGGAGCAAGCTTCCTGCTTCGAGGGCCACGAGGAAATAGTAAGGGAAGGCGCTACGAGAGATTAGTAGTGTCCCGTCTAGATCAGCGGCTACGGTTTGGTTCGACCGGTCCTTGACGTCGCACTTTGATATCGGCTCGAAACGTCGCCGCTTCTCCTGAGTAGCTCCCATTAGTGAAGAAGCCGAAGAGAGAAAAGAGAAGATAGAGGGAGAGAGAGAGGGGGGGGGGAGAGAGGCGAAGAGGGAGATTTGGAAGGTGAGAATGGATATGGATTGGTGAATACTTTTGGGAGTGTAGTTTATATAAAGAGAGGCAGGAGAGAATGGGCATGATTTTGTTGTTGTGGTGGTTTGATATTAGTATGCCAAAGAAATATGTGCTTTGATTTTTCAAAGGTAAGAGAAAAACACACACACACACACTGCATAATAAGATAACAATATCTGTGTGACTATAACTGTTGACTGTTGTCAATGTAAATTTATTAGTAAATCTTCTTTAATTCGTAAGGAAGTGATTGTGGAGATAATAGTGCCAATAAAGTGGATATCAAGATTTGTTTAATTAGGGAGAATAGTTAATTGTAGAAGAAGTTGTTTGAGACGTGTGAAATAAGAGAGCAAGGAGAGTTGAAGTTGGTGAAGACCGACACCAATTTATTGATTAACCAAAACCTATTTGAGATTTTATCTTATGTTGTTGAGAACGGCCCACGCGCCGCCGTTTTATAGTTAGAGCAACTTCTCTAAATTATTTTGTTTTGGGAAAACATTGTATTTTTAAGTAAATCCACTTTTGTAAATTTATATTCGATCAACCAAATATACGAACAACTTTCAAAGAGATATGAAATTACGATCGTTTTCAATATGAAAATTTTAAACCGAAACTATGAGAAAGCATACTTAAACCTTTAATTCGAACTCTCAAACAAATACAAAACATACTATATGCATGTGGCAATTGTACATAAATGAGAAAACCATACCTATATAATAAAATCACCTCCACGGCTCCACTAACAGCCTAACACCACCACCACCGGCGGTTTTGAGGTTTAAGTGGCGCCGGTAATAGTTGCTGCAACGGTGGTTGTGACAGCATCAGTGTCTTTTTGTACATAACTAAAAGAATGATTGATGATTCTTTTTTGTCTTTTCTCTTAATTGTACTCAAGTCTAATGTTTAAGATGTAGTTTTTTAAAACTCATTGCAAACTGGAAGAAAAATCCATATCTTGTGTATTGTGTTTGTATCGTTTTGTACGAGCGATTGTTTCTGCCTATAAATCTCACATATCTCCATCTCCTATTAGTTTTTGGGCTTACCTATCTGGCTATCCGATAAAGATTTCACTATATTAGAGGTTCACAATGTGTGATGATTGATGTTACATGACGTTTTAAAGTATTTTATTTTCAGCCTTATGAACACTAAGAATAATTGGTAACCAAAAAAAAAAAAAAAAGCTAAGAATAAATTTTGAAGAGATCATCCATTATACATACATTTCTTAAGATAAAAAAAATAATCTTACAATTACAATTTACAAATAAAATTTTAAATTCTTACGCAGTTAACACCATCATTTAAAAAATATATTACTTAGTTTAAAAGTAAATTATTCTTAGAGGAACTGGATCATTAGAGAAAGTTTTAATATGAAGTTATTTTTTTTTATGAAAAATAAAATAATGAGACTTTTATTTTAACACTTAATTATCCTGAAGTTGTTTGTCTGACTTGTTGAAAATACGGTTACTTAGGCTTAAAGATCAGTTAACTTCCGGGATAGAACATACACCAGTTATTAGATGCTTTTCACAAGCGTACACTCAAGTGGGGAAGAAATACAAAAAGAGGGAACTCGAGATTAGCTAAGTGTTTTCTCTTAAAAAGATTGATAAGAAAAGAAAATAAATTAAGAATATGGCTTATTTTCCTATCATACATATTTAAGGGGATTTCAATCTATCATATACATATGAGCAAAGAAATGTATATATATTAATAAAAAATTATTGGAATTCATTTTTTTTTTGGTGATAATTTATTGGAATTCATTATAATCACTAATTTGGTGATGTGGTGTTTAGGTTGTATTGTATCGATCTATGTAAATTCCTTAAGTTAAGATAACAATACCTAATGCCTAATGTTGTGACATGTGAAAGCGAGTATTATCTACCATATTTTGAGTGGTATGTACGGTCACTTTTTGTCACCGGTTAAAACTATTATTCGCCTCTATGAATAGTGAAATTATAATCAAAACTATGCTGTTGACATTTTTTCACCAAAACGTGATAAAAAAATATTTCGCATAAAAAACAAATTAGGAATTTAGGACATCTACTTTGTGAGATAATTAGCAAGTATTATATTTCAAGAAACTTTAAAAGCATGGGGTCGAGTCTCCCATTAATTTAATAAATCATCGACAAAAACAAAAAAGCATAGCTAATCTCTCGAAATTGTGGATATTTTGATATGTACTAAAGGCTTGGAAACGTGTGTGGAAGAAGTCTCCAAACTAAAATCAAATACGTACGTGTAGTATTATTTCTATATATGGTATCGAGTGTGAACTTCAAATAAACGATGGGTAAAAATCGTTATCAAAATCTGTTACATGCATGTGATCAAGTTCGAAGTATCATCCGATTATAACATATATAATGGTCTCCAACAATATAGAAAATAACGTCTAAAGATTATATATACGCTAAAGATGCATGCATAAAATACACGTTAACACATTAATATCATCTTGAAGACATTTAAACAAGCAAGCGCTAAAACAATATCGACACTCCCCATCATCTAACGCCTTATCATTATCCTTATATACCAGTCGAACTTGTTCTAGCTAGTAAAGTGTTCTAGCTAGGAATGCTAGCTATTACTACGGCGCCAAGCATATGAGTCACATATCTCATGTGGAAGATCAACGAGTGGTCGACCTATCCACCTCATGAATTCATGATTTGATAACCCAAAAATGTAAAACTCTATAAATACTAGACCAAATCCAACATATAAGAAGATCTCAATTTTGAAACCAAGATTCACAAAGATCAAACAATAAGCTCAAATTTATTAACATTTCAAGTTTATTTATTCTTCCTTTACCGGATAATTGTATTTACATATAATTGATCGTATATAATAGAATTCCGAAATATAATCTAGTTCTATTCTGATTTCATAAGATGCGGGACTTTTGGTCTCTAATAACCTCTCTATTATACAATTTCAGTGGCTATGAATCATCTTTTTTCGTGTCTTCGGATGCTATTTGATAGATGTCATTTTAATGTGCCTTGTCTTTTTTTCTTTCCTTTATTGTCGTCATGTCACCTGTCTTCAGTTTGACATTTTCGTATAACAAGAAATCAATTCCAAACTACGACCGTCCGGTCACCGTAAGAGTAGCTAAATCATTTTTACATAATTTTCCTACATTGACAGGACTATCTTAGTTTTACTACAAGGTACTTATTAGTGTCGACAAATATATCTTCTCAACAAATTGCACCTATTAGTCCAACGGTTCTTTGTAGCCTACTATTCATCATAAACTCGCGTATTCGTACATTGTAAAGCATTTAGGTACTTGCCGCCAAAAAAAGCATTGAGGAACTTACAAATACAATTATTTTAATATAAAAAATGTGGTTGTATGCATCAGCTACTTGTTAATTGTTATCTCTGATGATTAGTGAAAAAATAACTAAGAAAAGCTCACTAGAAAGGCATAGAAAGAAAAACTAGATTTATAGATTCATGTATATTTATTATTTATGGTTTTATTAGTAAGCTCAATACCTAAATTAAGTGATACCACATGGGACATTGATGTGGCCTCCATATAATTTACCAACTCAAAAGGCATTAAGTGGCTTTGCATTTACTCTCACCTTTAACTGTATGTATACGATTTTTCTGAAACCTAGACTTATTTCTACTTTAAAAGAGGTGAAAATAAACCTAACGCATTGTTTCTTTCTTTCATTTTGAAGATATCCATTTTAATAACATACCAAGTAGTAGTCAAGTACCAACATAGTTGTTAGTAAGAAAAAAAAAAAGGAAAATAATTCCTACTTCTAAAGCGGAACCCACTTCCGTCAATTGTTTTTGTTTATCAGAAATACGTTTAAGTTAATTCTGTATAATTTCTTAAATAACAAGGTACCTTATTGGTTGTTTGGTGAACATACAGAGTAAAAATAAAAATCTTCCGATAAAATGTAAGAAGAAAAGGTCAAGCCATAATTCTCCTTTATCTCACCTAATTCTATCTAAATGCTTTGACAGCTCCGTCAAGCCATATACCGAACTATCTGTTCTTTTCTCATTGGCTCGTCCAAAATATCAAAATCAATATTTAGCATGTTCGGCGCCGTAGTGACGTTAGCAACCACTTTCAACGACATAAGTAGACGTTGACGGTCGCAAACGAAACGGTGGTAAAGACTAGACCAAAAAGAAAAAAAAAAGAATGTTCGATGGAGTTTATGCTTAAATGTAAATGACACGTTAGATTTACTACGAGTTGCCCGGAACTATGGTATGGTTTCACGACAGAATATTTTATGTAAGAAATATGAACTAAAGTGCCGACAAAAAATAAGAAAAAAGAAATATGAACTAAAGCGTTCTTTCAGTAAACATCTTCGGCAACAAATCTGCTGGGTCTTAGAAATATACATGAACATTTTTAAAAATTCTAACATCTCCATGTGAAATAGCATCTCTGATGAAATTGTAATGAAACATTTATGTGGGTTAGTTCGTTCCTAATTCCCTATTTCTAGCTAAACACATTGTACTATACAAATCATAAACAAACGATCGACTGAATCATGTGCAAAAGCCATTGTATAAAACATATACTTTGTAAACCATAATACTTCTGTTAGTTACTCTTACCAGTGATCGGCATCTATTGTAGAGTGAAGACGGAGAGTAATCACATGCTTTAAATTCTGAATCAATGACGGTAGGTTTTGTCATTTGTGGCAACTATGATATATAATTGTCTTGTACTTAGTTTTATTTATTTATTTAGGGATTGTGGGCTGTAAAGCAATTGGGCCTGATGTTGGAAGCTGAGCCCACTGACTAATTCTTTTGAGTTTGTCATGTACGAGCCTCTCATTGTGAGAGGTTGGGCCGAGAGATCATTGACCACTTATTAGTTATTACAATTAAGGATGTATGCTATCATATATGGTCACACATGCCGTCACCATTTGCAACGAATCATTTACATTCAAATCTATTGCTAGTGGGACTGGATTT